AATAATATTAGGTACAAAAAACAAGAATAGTAGTTTGTGCAACAAGAGTGGATATGACGGCCATATCGCACGAAGACGAAATTTGAGCACGACGCCGTAGGCGGAGTGCCTAATCGTCTGATTGTGAGTGCGATGTGGACAACCCACTCGAGTTGTACAGTATATTTTTTATACGATCCACTAACGAAAATTTACAAATGACAAAATAACCAATTTTAAAATAATTTATGACTTAATAATTTTTAAAATAAAATAAACCAAAAAAAAAGTTCATTTCATTTCTCCCCATCCGAGAATCGAACTCGAGTCTTCTGTTTAGAAGGCAAGAACGCTGACCACAGGACCATCTATTATTTTCGTTGCTTTAATACTCGTAATTAAATTGACTTCATATAGTTTTATTTAAATTAACAAATTATTTATAATTATGGATAAAATAAAAACAGAAATGCTATTATTTATCGATTATATACAAGAATAACCCATTTTAATGTATGTTTAATCTTAATAACTAAAACATATACTGACAATTAGTTGGACAGAATTGTCATTTATTTAAAATTTTAAAAATAATAGCAGTCGATTGATCAAAATATGAACGGTGATTGGGGATTTAATTTTTTTGCAGTGTTCTCACTACCTAGAATGGTTATGAAATATATTCGTTCAGTTGAATTTCGTTTTGAAATTTGTGCGTTGTAGAAACAATCCAATGTTTTTCATTAGTTTATTTTTTTTTTAATACAAGAAATAAGATAAACAACTGTGAACAAGAAAGAACCTTTTTTTAATTATTAAAGATGATACCTACTTACAATTTTTTTCTGGATCGTTATCAAAATAGTACAAAATTAATAGCAAAAAGATTAACGGATTGTCTAACTGTAGGGATTATACAGAGTGAGTATATTCGACCGACAACGTTCTACCCTAAGAGGGCGCTTGTAATCGATGAATTTTGATATAGGAACGTAAACCCTTAAAGAGCTTAGTTACCTAGATACAGGGTGTTAAAAGTTTGAAATCAAAAGTCAAAATTTACTAAAAATCAAAAACGACTTTAAACATTTCACGAGAGAAGTCGTATGCGCGAACGTGTTGTCATAACCAGCGCCATATTATAAATTTGACATCAAATCAGTAGCGTAACCATTTTAAATTTAATGCTTAAATAAATATAAATATGGAAAAAATGTTGGTCAATTTTTTCCCGTTTTAATGCAAGAAATGTTGAAATTAAAAAAAAAAATTGCAAACTTACAAATCCATTATAGAGTCTTTGTTGAATATGTGATATGGTCAATAAAAATGCTATTTAATTAGTGGTTGGAAATTGGAGATAGGGGTGAAAATGCAATCCTTAGAGTTTTTAATTACCTGTATCTCGAAAACGAAGCCTTAGTTAATACGAATTTTTTTTTGTAAAGAATGAGATTTCACATCGAATTATTTAATTTTTTTCGGTAAAATTTATATAAAAAAAAAAGAATTTAAAAAGCAAAAACCAATTTCTTTTAATTTTTTTTGAGTATAATTGCTTTTTGGGAAAAGAAAAATTCATGCAATTAATATAATTTTTTTTTTGTAGACCTGTTATTAATCGTTTCATAGTCACTAAACAATTTTATAATACTCCTACTGCTGTCACTGCTGCAATCATCCTCTGAAGTAGATTCTTCAGACGATCCTGTATTCTGTATTTACATTAAACACAAAAGAATCTACAGCATTATCAAGAATGTGTTTTCCATTCATATTCGCATTTCTTTACATAATAGAACACCATTCTTAAACATAAACTTCAGCAAATTTCTTCCTGGTTAATTTCTCCACATCTAGTTTGAATGTTATATTTTATTTCTATTAAACTTACATTTTAAACTAGAAGCCCTTTTCTCCAGGATGTAAAAATCATAAACGATCTCCCGGACCCTTTAGTGCTTCCAGTACTGATTTTTTCCTCGGCTTCTTTTTTTGAGGAGATCCGAAGGAAGTAGATGCTCCTCTTTCAATAGCTAAGGAAGGCTTCCTTTTTAATTCTGGTGGAAGTACTTCTGCTCGCACCAGTTACTTTTAGAGTTCGCTCTCTGCAATTTAAAAATATAAATATTAAAAATCAGCAATATTTACATTGTATGGTTGTGGAAATACTCCTAGTCCCTAAACAAGTTAGTTGCTAAACGCTCCCTTACTGTATATGCCAACTAACCAACAATTTTCTTAATATGACTTCCTCACACTATCAGTTATAGTAAAAAAGATACAACGTTCCGTTTGAAATTAAATTATGGCTAAAAACAAATGAGATCACATTTCAATAAAATGTATGATGTATGGGTAGTACTAAATATCTGTATTTTATCAAAATTTATTCTAATTTTTTCTCGAAGAAAACACTACGGCACAATTGATTCCAAGATGACGATATCTCACAAAATTATTTGCAGTGATCTTCATTATTGATCAAGAGACATACAATTTTGGGTTGTTGCGCAATTATATTAAAAAAAAACCCGATCAGGATATATATTTTACAAATTAAAAAAATGTAACTGTATACCAAGACACTTAGTTTTTCTTTATATAAAATAACAAATTTTTTTTTACAGGCAAAACTATACAAGTCTAACAATTTTAGCAGAATTCATTTATTTTTAAATTTTTTCTAAAGAATTTATAACAATATTAATGCTACAAACTACTGACAAAATTTAGTAATAACTATTTTACAAATATCTGTTTTACACGCTAACTTTGTCTGTTTTTGACAAAATATGTAATTAGGCGGTATTTGCAGTAAGGGCACGATTTATAATTTACAATGGGGTCTATTCTGTAACAATTCCTTTATATTTAACGGTCTTTAAAAATATTGGCGGCCTTTAAAAATAGTTTCTTATTCGTTAATTTACTTCTATCATTATTTAAACAGATTTCTTTAAGATAGTCCTCTAATGTATTTTAAAGATCCGTTTAAATAATGACAGAAGTAAAGGAGAAAATATTTTTAAAGGCCGTTAAATATAAAGGAATTGTTACAGAATAGACCCCATTAACATAAGGAAACAACCGATCTTTTTTGTCCAAAGACAATATCTAGTCTATTACTAAGTATATAAATTCGCCGAAGAATACATGTACATTCTGACCGATCTGGTTGGGAGTAATAAATTACAATATTATTATACATATTATACATTTTTTATTCTACTTATCAATGATTGTGTAAAGAAATTTAAATTCCCTCTTCAGCTACTGTTTGCATAAAAGTGTCAACATTTTTTTATAATCTGCAGACCTGGACTATAGATAATTTTTCCTTTTAAACCAACAAGTTTTTTTAGAAGGCATGGTTTTAGATTAAATAAAACTAACAACACTTATAAACGACTTAAAATAGTCGAAAATCAAAAATATTTTACAAATGAACGAGTCCAAAAACACCCAACCTCAAATGTTAAATAAACGCTAACAAATAAATAAATAAATGGCTATCAGTATAAAAATGTTCGTTCTACGCCAGTGGCGTGACCCTGTCGTTACTAAGCGGCGTAGGTAAACAAGGCGTAATTTGGTTTCTGCGACTGTCATTGTTGCACGTTTAGCTGGCTTCTTTTCTCCTGAAACGGAGTCTACCTACTAGATTGGAATTTATAAATATTGAGTCCTTACAAAATGATCTAATTACATATAGGCTTTTTTTTAGAAGGAAATTTCTGCAATACCGTTCATTTCAGCTCCATAAAAGTTATTACTTTTTGTACTAAAAATGTTTGTTCCAGTTACGTAAAAAATAGGGGAAAAAAGTTGCCACTAACCCTGATATCGAGCCACTGGTTAAATTTTCAAAATATTACGTTCTTAAAGAAAATATTGGTCACCAGATTTGAAAAACATATTTAAAGGCGTTTTTAATTTATGTCAAATTTTGAATTTTGGTTTCACTCTTGTATCTCGTTGACTAAGCCCTTTAAGGGTTCATGTTCCTATATCAAAATTCATCAATTAAAGAGAGCTCTCTGGAATAAAGCATCGTGGGTTGGACACTGTATTATTATAATAATTAAACAGTAATGTCATATTTTTTCCAAAATAAAAAAAATTGCTTTTACTGTGAATTGAACCTGGGTCGAAAATCAATGTTGAGTGCTTAAAGATCTGAGTTATGAAGGCTTATGTCAAGTTAATTATATCTAATAATATATGTGACATTATTTCCATAGAAGACGTCTTCGTCTACCACTGCAGCAAAGTATTTTCATGTTATACATGGTAAGAATGAACGAAAAATTTTGTGCAAATAGCATACCTAAAAGTGTCGCTTTCTCCCCTACCACTCACTGATTTTAAAATATATTTGACCTGTCCGAAAAAAATTACCGTAAATAGAAGATAACATATCGCTCATTTGAGAGAATATCGTCACAATTAAAAAATCATAAATTCTGATGTTATTGCATTAACATAATTGAAAAGGTACATTCTTTGTACAGAAACAACGACACTTCAGTAGTTATAGTGGTATTCACTTAACGGCGCTACTACCATTGACACTTTTCAAGGTTCAGCCTGGTAAATCAATCAATTAAACTTGATTATTTCGAATTGAAGCTTTTTGAGTTATGCCGATATTCTCGCAAATGAGCGATATAATGCGCACTATATTTTTATTATGAATATTCCATATTGGGTTCATGATATACATACTCTCTTTGATCCGTCCCTGAAGACGCCGACTTTGTTGGTGCAAGAAGTGATACAAATCCACGCGTTGTTGGTAATGATGAATAAACTTTTGGATTTGTTTCACATGTGCAATGTAAATAGTTAGACTAAGTTGAAATGTATAAATAATTTGAGGAACCAATCGGATCACTTTAGGCATTTCAATTTATTTTTTCTTTAACGACCAAACGAATACATTGGATATAATTTATTTTTATTATTATTATTAGTATTTTTTGGCTGCATGTTGCATGTTCGTACTGTGTTGATTGCAGTTACCTTAGTGACCTGGAGCGAATTAAAGATCCCGAGTACTTGCCCACCGAGCAGGATATCCTGAGGGCGAGGGCACCTACGACGGGCATCATAGAATACCCATTCGATCTCGACTCCATTATCTTTAGGTACGGTAAGTTGGTGGTTGTAGGATTAACTGCGCATCTAGTCCATTCATTACGTACTTTTTTTTGCTAAAAATACCACACGTATTAGTACGTAAATTTCACGAGTGCGTTATTGTCGCACAGGTAGTGGTACATACTATACTTTTTCAACGACCAATATTTCTAATTATACAATTATTATAAATAAATTTTATGTAATAAAAGAATTTAACATTATTGTTTTATTGTCAATTCATATATTTTCTATAAATTTTCATAGTTATCTACAAAATTAAGAAATAATGAAATAAACTGCATTATGTACTCGTATAATGTGTTGCCTATCTTTTGGAACATCATACGTTGTAATTTAGCACTTTTTCGTATGTATATTTTTTTAATAAAAATATAATTTACTAGCATTATTGGAGGAACGATTTTTAACATATCGCACATCCGGTGCAACAACTTCAATAATGTAAACAAATTAGAGTGTGACTTTTTTGTCTTTTGTCACAAGCGCTACAATAATATCGTAAATATAATATACATACACACGTACAAAAAATAAGCAAATGTATTAAATCGGTTGACGTTTTTTACTACCTTTCAGTTTATGACGAGCAAAACTTTCAATTGGCTCCCATAAAAAAAATTTATTTTTGCACTGAATGTGCGATATTTTTTTCAAATTATTCTAAAAAAATAACGTGTGGTATTTTCGCATTACGAATCCCTTTTTGCTAACTTAATGAATGGACTATTGGAATAAATGTCAGTTTGTTATAAATCGATTGATTGTCTTTTTGTGGCGATTAAATTGTCTATTTTTAAAATGTACTGCTTACTATTAAAATTGTTCAGAAAAAAAAGTAATTTTGAAATTGGTATGTAAAAATGTTACTATTTTATTGCAGAATTGGTCAAAAATAACTGTAATGTGGTAATAAAGAGTAAAGAAGAAATTCTAAAATATCTTTAAATATTAGTGAAGTGTGACTATTGGACCGAGAGATGCTGATTCAAAAGTTACGTCAAAAAAATTTCACTGTCAGATTTAATATGAATCGATAAGATCATTTAACTATAATGAAGATGTAATGCTTGGCATTCTACAGAGTGTTTTAAAAAGGTATGTTATAAATTTTTCCTCAGATAGTTTACCAAAAAATAAGTAGATTTGGCTGTTTACCTATATCAAAAACTGGCTCCTAACAAAGTTACAGGGCGTTAAACTAACATCCAGAAAAATGTGTTTTTAAGCTATTGCATAGCTTTTATCGCGGGCTTTGAGCGCGGCGACCGAATCAAGAAATTCCGTAACACCGTAACGAACAAAACCTAACACCCCCCCACTCCGACCGGCACAGCGGTGCGGCGTTAAACAATATTAACTTCTCATTTATTCAATAAAAGAAAATCGAAAATCGAAAAATTCAAAAATCGAAAAATCGAAAATCGGAAAATCGAATAATCGAAATTCCGTAACGAAAATAAACCTAACACTCCCCACTCCGACTGGCACAACGGTGCGGCGTTGAAAGCCGTGCATCGTCTAACGTCGTTTCAGTTCGGCAGACTTCGGCACGGAACTGATTCTATCTCTTTTAGACACAATTTAGGAAAAATTGAATTTGAAAATGAATAGTGATCCACAAGAATCCACAACAAAATATGGGACCACCATTGACGCGGTATTTTCCAGATATTTAGAGGATATGAAGTCTCAAACCTATGTTTCTTATTTCAGTTACCATAAATCTTTAGTTTCAATGATAAAAATTCCTGAATAACCTACATGTCTGACATAAAGAAACTTGCTTTATTGATCTTAAAAACAAAAAGCACTATGAATTTTTAAATTTTTTATATTGAAATGAACTTTGTATCTTTCTTAGTTAACGAGCTATTTACAATTTTTTAACTGAATTTCTAGAGCAATTCGTCCGTCCTGGACTTAACATATCAACAAAACTAAGAGTAGGTCAGGAGTTATTCTACAAAAGACACATAAAAATCAGTGGTGTGCTAGGGCTGTGCTTGAGCCGCCCCTGCAAAAACTACCTCTTTTATTTATATTTTTTGTATTCAAGGAGGAGGACATGTTGAATAGTTTATAAAATATGTATATTAATTATTATTGTCAACTATTTTTTTTTAATTGTTAATATTTTGCTTATTGTTTAATTAAAAAAATATTTTTTTTAATTACTATTAAATTTAATAAATACATTTTTAACTAACGTGTATTTTTATCAGTGGCATGGTGAACCCATGAGGATGGGTGGCACACCATTTTTATGTCGTCGCCAATCCAATATTATAAATACTTCTTTTACAAAAATATAAATAAAAAAAAGTAGTTTTTGCAGGGGCGGCTCGAGCACAGCCCTAGACACATTACTGATTTTTATATGCGTTTTTTGTACAATAACTCTTGACCTATTCTTAGTTTTGTTGATATGTTAAGTCCAGGACAGACGAATTGCTCTAGAATCTTAGTTAAAAAATATAGCTCGTTAACTAAGAAAGATACAATGTTCATTTCGCTATAAAAAAAAAATTAAAAATTCATAGTTCTTTTGATTTTAAGATCGATAAAGCAAGTTTCTTTATGTCAAAAAAATACAGGTGGTTTTTTTAAAGGGGTCGCTTTAATTTTTTTCCTTAGAATATTGGGCCGTCAAATCTACAGCACTGGCAAAAATTTCAAAGAAAAAATCGCATCAGCAAACTTTTTACAAAAAAAAAAAACGTTTTTCTGAATGTTAGTTTAACTTTGTTGGGAGCCAGTTTTTGATATAAGTAAATATAGCCAAATCCGCTTAATTTTTGGTAATCTATCCGAGGAAGAATTTATGACATACCTTTTTGAAACACCCTGTATATTGTACTCTTCACAGTTTAATAGACCTCTTTAACCTCCATTTTCAATCAGATTTTTTCCCTTATAGAGATGGATTTTTACTAAAAATTCAATCTAATATCGTGTTTTGTTTCCGAGTTAGGATTTTTTTTTTATAATATTTTATCCCCCCCACCCCAACAAGTATCTCCTAATTTTGATTTATCTATCTATTCATTCCCGTATAGGAGCTTGATTTGTACTAAGCATTTTGTTTTATGTTGCCAAAAATTTCAAGTCGATATTATTGTCCGTTTTTGAGTTAGGATTTTTTTTTAAATATTCCAATCCCCCCTTTACCCGCCCATTTTTATTAATTTTTTTAGAATCAATAGACTTCATCTCCTTATAGAGTTTGGTTATTCCTAAAAATTAGATGATAATATCGCTTTTCGTTTTTGATTTATATATTTTTTTAATTTCGACTATTCTTAAAACCCCCCATTTTTAATTAATTTTTTTCAAAATCAAAGGGCCTCTTCCCCTTATAAAGCTTGAATTTTGCTAAAAATTTCAAATTGATATAATTTTATTGTTTTCGAGTTAGGATATTTTTTTTATATTTTAACCCCCCTTAATCGCCAATTCAGATTTTTCAATAGGCTTCATCTTTCTTAAAAATCTTGATTTTTACTAAAAATTTCATGTTGATAACGCTTTTTGTTTTTCATTTAGGATTTTTTTTTAAATTTAAACCTCCATTATTAATCATATTTTTTTAAACTCAATAGGCTTTGTTTCCTTATAGTGCTTGATTTTTTCTAAAAATTTCAAATTGATATCAGTATTCGTTTTTGATTTTTTTTTATTTCAATTCCCCATAACCCCTCATTTTTAATTATATATTTTTTTTCAAAATCAATAAACTTTGTTTCCTTATAGAGCTTGATTTTTGCTGATAATTTCAAGTTAATATCATTTTTCGTTTTTGAGTTATGATTTTTTTATATTTCAGCGATTCTTACCTCTCTCCAATTTTTATTCAGATTTTTTTTCAAAATCAATAGAATTGGTCCCCTTATATAGCTTGATTTTTACTAAAAATTTCATGTTGATATCGCTTTTCGTTTTTAATTTATGATTTTTTTAAATTTCAACCCCCCCCTTAACCCACAATTTTTAATCATATATTTTTCCAAATCAATAGGTTTTTTCCCCTTATAGAGCTCAATTTTTTCTAAAAAATTCAAGTTTATATCATTTTTTGATCTATGATTTCTGTTTTAATTTCAACCCCCCCCCCCCTTAACGCCCATTTTTATTTAGATTTCATTTTACAAAACTTGATTTTTACTAAAAAATTCAAGTTTATATCGCTTTTGGTTTTTGATTTTTTTTATACATACTTCAATTCCTCATTGACTCCCCCATTTTAATCAGTTTTTTTTTTTTTTTTTCAAAATCGTTATGCTTTATCCCCTTAAGAGCTCGATTTTTTTCAAATTCGATAAACTTTGTCCCCTTACAATGCTTGATTTTTTCTAAAAAATTGAAGTTGATATCATTTTTCGTTTTTGATTTATGATTTTTTTTTTAATTTCAACTTCTCTTAACCCCCCAGAATTTAAAAAATCAATAGGCTTTATTCCCTTAAAGAGCTTGATTTTTCCTGAAATTTTCAAGTTTATATCGTTTTTCGTTTTTGACTTATCGTGCGGAAATCAAAATGACATCAGATGGACGGACGGAACTAAATGCTTAATACTTACTCTTCACAGACTACTGTGAAAAGAGTATACTAAATGTCTTTTTGTCACTTTCAATATTTTAATCTTTTATTGTCAATCTAGAGTTCTACGAATGAGTTTAAATACATCAATAATTGTTGTTGCATTTAATTACACTAAACTGAACTGGGGAACTATTTAAAGTTGAATATTCAATTTGTGAGATTTCTTGCATCTACAAATTCATTTTTTTAATACTTATTTTTGAATCACTCTGTAAACCATTTGCATTAAATAAATTATGTTTACCAAGTATCTGACCAATTTAATAATTGTAAAGAAGCATGCAAATTGACATTTATTCCACTTTGTCTACGTTATGTGAGTTTGAAATATAGGGTGAGTCAGTAACTCACGCTACTTGAAACGTAGTTAAATATTATACTGAT